GAGCTATAAAAAAGAAACTCAAGTTCAAAATCTATCATAAACTTTTTGGGCGGACGTTCGGTCCCTTTCTTCACACAATACACAAGATCTTACAATGAAAAGCAGAAACAACGGTGCTGTGAAAACTTTTAGAAAATTTTAAGTTGTTGCACCTCCCACAGTTGCTGCTTGTGATATAAATATAAATACGACTTTGGGATTGAGATACACCCCCCCCCCCCCCATGTATAAAATATGGTACAAGTTAGGAAACGTTGTTCACTATTTTTCTGGGGATCATATTTTATTTGTTATTTGTTTTTAATGGTAAACATTTGTTGATTCAAATCATCATATATATATCCCAAAATACCTATCTGCCAGAATTGAAAAAATAATCAAAATGTGAATCAACTGATTCCCAGTGAAATGAACACTGTGCAACGATCTCTTCACTCTGACAAATTGAGATGAGACAAAGTGCATGATTGGTAGGCAATCAGAACCCGTGTAATATTAAACACTCGTTTAATGTCAAGTTTATTTAAACACTTGCTTTAACCCAGAGACTTCAACCCACACCGGAATACCCTTGATTGATGCTTACAGAGAATGTTTTTGTTTTTTCTTAGAATTTGACATGGTCTTTTGGTGTGAACAGGAACATTGCAGCGATAAATCTGACAGATGGACAGAGGAAAGCCGTACTCTACACATGTGCACACATTGCTGTCATATATGATCATGTAGAAAACACACAACAGCTTTTACAAGGACATGTATGTATGCATTCTCAGAAAAATAAACTAGACTATTGATAATTACTTGTATAATACATGTAATGCACTGTTTTGTAATACTGTGGAATACTTTATTTTCGCTGAAAAGGCTTTTTGTGGCGTTTTGTATGGAATTTATTTTCACTGATTTCTGATGAGTTTAATGTGAAATATAGAAAAAAAAAAGTATATTCGCTGGATTTTATTTTCACGGAATCATCCCTTCAGAGAAAAATAGCGAAAATAAAGTATTCTACAGTATATGTCCAAAAACGGAAGATTATGACAATGTGCTTATGTAATTAACCTCCATATTTTTACAATGTAGTATTTTAATAGAGAAACAATTTTATTAGTTTGGAGAGCTCCTGGGAAAAGTATGACACTGTGGGTTCATACATGCAACAGGCGTTGCACAGAACACATTTTCTTTGATGTTTGCAGCAGTTCTTGATCTTCTCTGACAAGGCTGCAGTATTGGGAATTTGTATTAATTTTTTCTCCTGCCTATCATTGTAGTGTAATAACATTTCCTGTACGTGTGTTAGTGAAGATAAAAGATGGGTTGCCACTGCTGATAAAGGTCCAAATAGTACAGTTATTATGTGGGATTCACATACAGGGTAAGGAATTATGCTTAGATTTAAAGATCAACAGGAACTGGGTCCTGCCAAGTACAAGTGTTGTGTTTTAATCCTACAGTATTTCAAAGATCAAGCATTTACTGGTGAGCAAGGTACTTGCTATATAACAGTAAATGGATAAGTTTCAATTTTGTTAACACAATCCTGCCTGGAAGATGAGAATGCACTTATTCATGTTTAGCACAAGTGTGCATTGACTGGTTGACACAAACTGCTTGTTCGCTGCTGTTATTATCATTATAAAACACATTTATATTGCCTGGTTAATACTTTTTGAATGACATTGCTTATTGATATAGTAAATGCTGATCAAAAAATTCCGGGTAGGAATCCTTTGGACTAGAAAATTTAAGAGTTTTGTTTTTAAACTCACAAAAGGATCATCTGTGTACATGTATCTGACGGAAACTGTATTTTTTGTTGAAATTTCAGCCATGCTCTCATCAGTAACTGTCACCTTGATTGATTTGTTTGTAATTTTTTTTTCATAGAATCCCAGTTCAGACATTGTTTGATGCTCACCCAGATGGTGGAGTTTCTGGTATGACTATGACTCCAGATGCCAAGTATTTGGCAACTCTCAGTGCCAATGGCAAAAAGGTAAGAGAAAACAGACCTGAGTAAGTAAAGGGTTAGTAATGAGGAATGAGATATGAATTAATTTAAATACTCTCACCATAGAAACAAGTGTAAAAATGAAAAAAATTTGAACATTTTCCATTTTATTTCAGACTTGTGGGGGGGGGGGGGTTGTACAGTGGTGATAGCAGTCTTGGTGTGTGTTATTTCGTTTCTATTCTAAATAATAGCTTCTTCACATTGATGTTATTTTTACTTTCAGCAAACTTTCGCTATTTGGGACTGGACGACTGATAGCGAGACACCGATTTGCACAGCAGAGTTAGATGAGAGTTATGGCTTGCAGACATACGTTCAGTTTAACCCAGAAGACATAACGCAGATTGTTTCCAATAGTGACCAGCAAGTTATTTTTTATTCCTGGGTAAGCATCTAGCTGGTTTCACTAACTGCAATTAAAATTGTGTGCCAGTATCTAATTCCATAATCTGGAACCTGCATCACATGTACCGGTACATGTAACTACTATACTTACTTTATGGATGAACATAGTTCATTTCTAGCACCATTGAATACTTTAGTTAGGCACATCCATCGCCATGGAAACAGGTTAATTTTTGCCCTATACTGACAAGTACAGGGTAATGTCCCTGGAAATGTTCAACTAACAATTGAACACTTGCACTACTAATCAATTTTAATTTTAAAAATAATGTTCTAACATTGCATCCCCTACTGATGAAATCAAGTTTACTTACAATTTCAATCCTGAAATATTGGAGCACTAATTCAAAAGATATAACCTGCACTGAAGATTGTGGTTGGTTTGTAAATTTCAAGGATTCTGTTAAGATTTTTTTTTTAATTGTATAAAATATAAAGCCTGTATGATACGCACAGGGTTCAGTGAGAAGTCCCTGCAGATCACACAAAGTGGCAATGCAACTTTAAATAGGCTCCTAAAACATATACACATATGTACCGGTATAATGGTATACTGTAAAACACTTTGAAATAGCTATATTCATTTTCGTGAATTTGACTCAATGCATGAATTAACACAAGTATAAAGTGCCAACAATCTCATTGTGAGAATATTCTTCATTTTAAATTAAAGACTTCTTGAATTCAATGAAATCACAGATTAGCTAAATTAGCTCAAATAAAAATAACATGTTATAGTGCAAAATAAAATTGGTAAAAATCAGTTTTTATTTTCCCAAAGCATTTAGCATTTCATTTTAATGAAACTTTATACTACAAATATTTAAAACCATTCTTTGCTTGGATTGATATAATCATCTTTCTCTCATTCAATCTTCAGAAAAATGATAAGATTGAATATTTTGCACCATCCCTGACAGATCAAGATTTCAACCGCGCTGTGGGTAATTATAGCAAATCTATCTTTGTAAGTGGTACTACCAAGGCATATACAGCTACATCATGCGGTAACATTGTAGTATGGGACAATAACAGACCCATATCAGGACGTGAGTACACCTTTGGTTATTTTTAGACCTCCAGTGACTTCATTTTTTTCTAGCAACTGGGAATTTTTGTCATGTTACTCGTGTCAAATATTGTTGAGCGTTTCCGATTTAATTTCAAAGAAAAGCTTCAATGTAAGACGCATCTTCACTCAGTGGTTTTAAAATTGGAAAGACTGACTCAAACTTTATAAATTTGAATTCAATCTCAATCATTTATATCATAATAACATAGAGACTGATCTCTCCGCTATTATCAAAATAAAAAAAAATAAAAATGTGACAAAAGTTTCCTATTTATAAAATGAATTTTTATTTGAATTACAGCGCCAAGCCTGGAACCATCTCCTAATAAAAAAGCGTTCAAGCTTGTACGATTGCAAGAACGTGGAATCACTGTTTTGACAACAACAGACAAGTAAGAGTTTATAAAGTTTTTTAAAACATTTTTAGTCTGCCTGAAAAAAATTGTGCGACGCTGAGAGAATTGCAAAATACTGTTGCTGTGAAGATTTCATAACGTCCATAAAGTAGAATATTACCTTGCTGATGTCATCCTAGCACATTGTGTTATGTATAATAGTCTCTTACCCTTATTACATGTATTATACATCTTTCTTACTTGTTATCGTGAGAGTACAATCCACTCTGCCTTCCAAACATACTGTAAAATACTTTATTTTAGTGCAATTAATTTTCGTTGAAAAGACTTGTTGGGTGTTTTGTATGGAATTTATTTTCACTGATTTTTGATGAGTTGAATGTAAAATATAGGGAAAAAGGTACATGTATATTCATTGGATTTTATTTTCACTGAATCATTCCTTCAGCGAAAATAGCGAAAATTAATTGCAAGCGAAAATAACGTTTTTTTACAGTATTACGATATTAGGTTTTGGAAACTTGTTCACACAGGCACTCTGCAAAAACAAAGAGAATACAACAGGAGAGACAAGAGACGGCAATGACTTCATATCCAGAAATGTAGCCCGACAAAAAATAAATAAAAACAATATATATATATTTTATAAAAGTTTTTTTTTTTTATTTTTCATCAAAAAAAGTCAATCTTTATCTGCTGTGAATACAAAGCTTGGTCAATAATCACCCATGTCTGCATACTGACATCAAACGTAAAGAGAAAATTGTAATTCTTTTATTTATATATCTACAGTTATGTTGTAACAGCAGATGTCCTCGGCCATGTCAAATTCTATGATTGGCATCTACGCATGTCTAATTGGTACAGTGATTTTGATGTGGGACCCATCAACTCTTTATCCTTTGAATATCTCCCAGAGTTCTCATATGAGTAAGTTTTATACATCATGTTGTTTTTGTTTTACTATAGTTTACTACCGTACTAGTTTACTAGCTCACAAAATTTGTTAACGTCAGTGATTTGTTATACCATTTATACGAGACAATAATACTTATTTTGGGTAAATTTTTATTGATACATGAAAATACAATATACATGCATAAAGTTGCAGAACTAATTTTCCAAAAAATTGGGTGAATTGTATGTATGCCTTAGCAAAAATAAAAATTTGCGAAAATAAGATTTGACAAAATTATTTTTTCTGCAACAAGATTTTTTCTTCTTTCAAAGTTAATGCATATACTTTTCACATATCAATGAGATTGAAATGGATACTATCGCCCATATCAACAATATAATAAACAACCTTTTCCAAACGTCAATGGACTTTTCCAATATCCGTCTGGGCAATGTTAATGGAAATGCAAACCATTATTATTCAGTATTTATTGTGTTTACTTGAAACAGAGCAAAAGCAGACAGTAACTACCCTCCCGATGCCACTATTTATTCTAAACCATTTGTAACTCGTGATTATATGATTGGAACTTCCACGGCTGTTATCGCACACGTGGTAGCCGACGGGACTAGTCTTAAGGTTAGTACACATGTACCGCTTACACCATCATATTGTTTCCATTGTTTTTAGTCACATCAAGAGTGATTTAATCATGACAGTTTTCCATGATTGGCAGTGATCTGTGGTAGGTTTTTATGCATCCTTTTAAGTCCGAGAAAGTTTAAGTTCAAGCATAATCTGTTGCTGGTGTAATAAATATTGTTTGTTTCCATTCTAGGTGATACATAGAGAACATGATGCTGCAGTTCACGCTGTAGCCACACATCCATCCAAACCATTTGTCTGCATTGGTAGCTACGCTGGATATGTCAAAGTCTGGAATTATCTTAAAAAGTAAGAAAAAGAAAGAAACAGTAGTTGACATTGACCAAAAACTGTGGTGCTTTAATGAACAAATAATGTTAATTGAAAAAATAATGTGTGGGTACTGAATAATTTTTACATGGAATATGTAAAATTTTGTTGTTTTTGCATAAGTTTCCATGGTGGATGCTTCATTTTTTTCATAAATAGGTATAGTTATTGATATGAAACCAAAAACTTTGAGATACAGTTTTTCCATTATACGGTCTTTTGGATGCAGATGTTTTATAACTGTGAACAGTGCTGTATAAAACCTGTATAAAAATGAACACAATTGTCTAACCATTTTGTCATAGTGTAAATGCTAGACTCTTCTTAGCTGAACACTGCAGTTCTCTGTCTCTTTGGTTTCCGATTCAGAGCACTAAAATTATTGCGAGTGTTTTTTATATCAACAGTTTAATTTTTCACAGGCATTTTGTTACATTAGCAAATAATGTTATGATTAGTACCTACTAGTAACTTGCAGAAATAATGAAAATGGCAGAAAAAATTAGAAAACTTTTTAATTGTGCTGCTGAATGCATCCATGATTCGAACTGCCCCCAATTGACAGCTATTGTATTGTTGGGTGTCTTGTCTGAATCTGACGTTTATTAGCTAATGTATTCTTGGTGTCTTGTCTGAATCTGACGTTTATTTCTCACCAATAATAATTATTTGTGAATCAAGTTTGGTCAGAGATGCAAAGTACAACAAATACATGTTATTTGCAAGTACGTAATGAGCACAATATGATGTATCGTTTCAGGGAGGTGGTTGTTCAGCGTAGGTTTCCTAGAGGATGTTTGGTAAGATGCCTGACTTACGATCCTCAAGGTGCTTATATAGGTGAGTGAGTTTAATCACATGATGTTATTTCGAGTATGCTGTGGTAAAATTATACATCCTTCTTAGATTGTAGTAATAATTATATGAGAGAAAACGGCCCAAAATGACAACAAAAAATATTTTCTGCTGTGTGAACTTTTGCGTTTTGAGCTTTTTTCTATATCTGATGTGATGTAAATGTGACGCACAATTACCAAATAAGGTAAACATTCAAATGTATCCGTAACACTGTTTGGCGTTTTCTCAAACGGATAAATTCTATTGATGCATAGTAAGTATGTGTCAAATTCTGAAAGTTCAAAAAGCCCTGTGTGTTGTGTTGTGAATTCCTTTCATTTGTTGAAACTTGTACATTGTCTGTTCATTGACAGCTGTCGGTTTTACCAATGGTAGTGTTCGAATACTGGATGCATTGACTTTAGATGATGAGTGCCCGGAACCGTTTCGATTTTCACGAGATGTTGTAATACAGTGTGCTTTCTCACATGATTCTGAGTGGTTGGCAACGGCGGTAAGTGAGAGATATGTTTCACATTCCAAGTGCAATATTACTATGGTTTCTCAGAGTTGAGAAATTGCCTTACAATATAGGAATAATATATAAAATATATGTATTTGTTGAAGTGTTTTGCCTTTCATCTGTGAACTTCAAATCATGTATACTACATACTCTCTCCATATTTATTCAGTATCTCTTGTATGGACCTAGTGGTCATGTTTGTGAGTCGATAATTTTGAATCTTTAAAGTGTTGATGAAATGGGACACACACTATATACACGTGCTGCATAGAACAAGACTATTTGCATATACATGTACTATGGTGCTGCAACAGTCTCTCGCGTTTAAGGTCAAGTTAGATGAGTCAAAAACTTGTTTCCTGTAATTGTTGACACATATCTATTGCTTGAAACTCTGTCTGTTTCAAAAATAAGAACTCAATCAATGCTCAAGGCTAAGTCTTTGGCTACAACTGTGTTTTAAACACATTCAGTTTTCAGGGTTAGCGCCATTACATTTTGAATGTGTCTCTTTCATCAAGTTAATTTCGTGATTGCACATGTGTTCAATATGTCTGTGTTTAGGATGCTGATTACTGTGTGAGCGTTTTCAAAGCCCAGCCATATAACGAGCAGGAGCCGTGGATGTACTTGGGTAAACAGAGGGCGCACTACAAGCCTGTCAGAGGGATCATGTTTGGTCGAACATTGGATTCGGAAGTTCCTCGCTTGCTGTCTGTCGGTGAAGATAGAACACTGGTAATATTACTGAACGATTACCATACCAAATTTGTGTTCATTTGTTTTGATGGATTGTCACTACAAAACCATTTTGATTTGATTTTTTGTCAAGTTTTCGCCTTACCATACTATGTCTATCCTTGTTTTTGTCTCAATTGTAAACTTTTATTTCTTGTGGTTACAATAACTCACACAATTTTGTATCCAGTCATTATCAAACTTTGTTGTCATTTGAATTTTTGATTTACACCCTGAAAAGAGACACCACAAAAAGAGGGTTTAACACTGAGGAACTGACAATACCTTAAACATTCAATCAATTCAATAGGACGGCCAATTCATTGAATGAATTTAGAAATAAATTGTTCAAAGGGGTTGATTTTAAAACTAATTCTTAATATTTCCCTGGTCATATTCATAAGCCTTATTTAATACATAAGGGTGGTTGTCATGGTGATGCCTCAATGTGCTGAATGTGGGTCCCATGTGTTGTCTACAGTGCATGTTAAATCATATTAATATTTACTCAGTTGAATATGCACATGATGACCTTTAACCTATTTATTTATTTTTTGCATATAGGTTGAGTATGCCATCTTTAGCAGCACCACTGATAACTTACAACTCATCAGTTCAGACAGAATTGAACAGAGTGCCATTCCTCAGTGCTTCACCATGTATCCTCCAATCACAAAAGAGAACTTCCTCTTGTTAGCCAATGACCAGGTAAGTCTGTCAAATTGTCTGTGTAACAAGCATTTTTAATAATTGGTCAGTCACTGATGATAGAACTGTGCCATATTTTTTATAAAAGTTTTTGGTCATCATTTTTCAATTTATTTTATAACTTGATAATTTTTCTCGCCAAAATATTGGTACAACTTTGACACATTTTATATCTTTATGTAACTTATTTATTAAATAAAATAAATGAAATTTATTTGTTTTATTAACACCACATTTGTCACACATATTACATTCATAAAAAACACATACACTGAAGTGCTTGATTGGATTTTGTATTTGTCTTTGCTACTTTCTCTGATACTAATGTGTTTCATGATAGTGTTTTGTCCGATTGAGGAACACATCCCATGTACAAAATTTCTTAGTTGATAATACTCTAGGGACGACGTCAAAAGATCGATGTCGGATAAAAAACTTATTTGCTTTAGTTTGGGGGGGGGGGGGTTTGACCTCAAAAAGTTTCCATCCTACAAAAACGATTTTAATTTTTAATGAAGTTCGTTTTTTTTCTATCCAATCATAGAAAAAATAACAGAAAATGACAAAAAAAACATCCAAGACGAGAAAATGGTTTGGTCCGAGTGTAAATATGTGCGTCAAATGAGGTCAATTTCAGGGCATGGACCTAGAGCATGTGCAGAACCCAGAAAAATAGTTTGCGCATACGTATATTCCCCTTCATTACTACATTTGTACAACCAACTGCTAATGCCATACCGGTACTACTGTCCAATTATCAGTTTGTATTTAATGGTGAATGTAGTCTGACGCCATGATCAATATTTATCAATTAAGTTTCAGTGGGGGGTAGGGGGGTTTGGAAAAAAACTAAAGGAATAAGTTTTTTATCCGACATCAATCTTTTGACGCTGTTGCTTATTGTGTTCTAGATATAAATATAATCTGTTTGTCAGCAATCAATTTAATATGAAAAGAAAAATAACCTCTTTTTTGTAACTGCAGTATAAATTCAAGCTTTATAACTCTACAACTAAGATGTGCCGGAAGACGCTACTTGCACCAACATATGGATCACCACTTCAGCGGTAAGTTGGTGATTATTTTGAAGAAGGTAGAAGTGACATTACTACCCCGGGTATATGCTTTGCTTTATTAGCAGCACGTCTCCTTGGCAAAGTGGAAGTGGAAGTGCATGTCTAAAGTTGTTACTTTAAATTCCAACCTGAAATTGTCAACTTATTGCTTATTGTTGACTTTTCTGTATACCGCAGTTCACTTTCATGAGGAAACTTACCCAATTTTTGTAACAGTGACTTCTAAAACTTTTTGAGATAATTTGGCATAAATCATGAGACAATGTTCATTGGTTATTAAGTACAATCATGGAGATATTGTCCTATGGCGTAATAAAATAGCAAACATGTTCTTATAATATTTTTTTCAAAAATCAGTATTTTTAGAACTACCGGTACTAGTATTTCATAGAGCACAATGCTAATAAAAAAAATAATTTTTCAACACTTTTTAAATCCAGAATTTTGAAATAATTCGAGACAACAAAAAGTGCTCTGTCGTTAACTATATATGATTTTTTTCAGCCTATGTCCCAAGCCCACAATATGAGATATGGCATAGTATCTCTGCCATAGGAACATATGGTAAAAGCTTTCTAATACATGTACTTCCATAATGGCAACTATCCACTAAAATAAAACTACCACTTTCTTGAAAATTAGGCTAGTAACCCCCAACTTTTTTAAAGCCAATATTCGTATATATTGCTCTGTAGTACAATTTTTTACAAAATGAATAAATTTTCGGAAAACATAGCAAAAACACATTTATTTTATAAAATTCAATTTTTTTTTCTTCATAGTATGGAGGTGTTACCAACAGAGGGCGCTGTTGATAGTAAACGCTATTTAGCATACATCACCAATGATAAAGTTGGCCTGCATTCTATGCCTTTGGACGGCAACCCACACAATGCCATGGCATTAATAGCCCATCCTGGCAAGGTAAGTTTGCTACATAGTGTGTTTCTCATCCCATCATATCCTCTGTGCTATGATATGGATATCAACTTTGAAATTTGGCAGCTAATGAACCTTGTAATAATTTAACTCCAAACCAATTTTGAGATTCAACCCGACTCGTTAAAAGCCATTAACAAAAATAACATGTGTCTCGGCATCCATACTACCGTATTCTTTTTTGAATTTAAACGATGTTCATGTTTTTATGATATTCCAGGTGGTAAACTTAGCTTGTAGTTATGACGGTAAACATGTCTTCACTGCAGGTGGTACCGACTCCTCGGTACATATGTGGAACGTTAATCTAATGTAAGTTTTAGTCTTATTGTTTTTGTTGAGGAAAAGGCATCATGGTGTGCTTATTATCACTCTGGAATGACAATCACACATGTATCGGATACGTTACGTTTTTAATGCGACAAACATTATATTTTGCCCTTGCAAAATTGAAGTAACATACAGTGCATCCATGTAACACTGATTCATTTGACTTTTCTAAAGGGTTCTCGAGGCTGGTAGCAAACTCGGTGGAGAAGACCTGATTCCGTTCTATGGTCTGTTAGAGGGCGGTAGAGAAGGTGAACTATTTGCAGAACTTGAAGACTATTTTTATTATGCACAGATTAGAAGGTAAGCTTTGGCAACCTTTTATACAAACTCTGATTCATACTATACACGTTTCCCAAATTTTTCATCAAGTCAAATAAAATTCTTGAAATATTGCATTGATCCCTGAAATATCAATTGCCCAATTTAACAAAACTCTTGTTCATACTAAAAATTCTTGGGGTCTAACTACCAGGACTTCTGCTTTCAGTTTGTAATTTACATCTGTTTCTCTATGGTTACAATTACAATGACCAAAAAGTGGATACCATATTTACTTACTGGCAGAGGTGTGTCTGTGGTCAAAATAAGTTGTGTTTTTAATGATTCAATATACAATAAATGCAATTTGGGTTAATGTGCCTCACATAACAAAAATGGTATATTCTTTGCATTCTTTCACCTGAGTGTCAGAGAGTGTTTTGCCATGATTTAAAATTGTACTGTTATTTTTTTTTCAGTCAAGGAGTTGACACGATGGATTCAAGAGAAATCTCAACTAAGATTCCTCTCACGGAAGTACCGTTTGTCATGAGAGCACTTGGATTTTATCCCTCAGAGCAGGAGATAGAAGACATGCTGAATGAAGTGAAATTCAGCCAATATGTGGAAACGGGAAAATATGTAACTGACATCGATCTTGGCGAATTTATAAAATGTAAGTTGAAAAATCTGACTGACTTTTGAAGTTATTTAATACACCACACCACAACATATACATGACAAAGTACGTATTTGCTAATCAATACAAGTTTCTGAAAGTTTCCAAATGTGACTCAACCTTCTTGGAAGAGCTAAATTCTGGACATGTACACAATTTGAAAATAATTAATATTTAGAGAACTTCTAGCTATTATCATTCGATATTCTTTCCCACCAGTGTATGTGAACCACAGACCAGCATTTGGGCTTTCCATCAGCCAACTGCAGAGGGCGTTTGAAGTGCTGGGACTCGATGATGGAACAGGTGTCCCTGCCATAGATCGGGGTGAACTGCTGGATTTATTGCAAAGCAAAGGTGAGTCAAATTCTTTCTTTTTTATCAACAAGATTCATTTCTTCAGTTAAATCCTGAAACCCTACACTATGATAGTATATTGATGGAGCATTTCACATATTAATTTTTCAGATTTCTCTCATTCTTTTAATAGGATGTTGTCATCATTTGTACTGTTGTGAAAATATGTTTGTAAACCAGCTCATTAAGTTATTTTAATGAAATATGGAACTAAAACATATAGTCAATTTACAATTATGATAGTACTAGTAGAATGCCAAATTTGTTAAACCCTTGAAAAGTTCAATAACAGAAAACTCGGTAGATCTTCTGTTGTTGTTGGTTTGACAAACTTGTTGCAATCACTTAATTGATTTATCAGCAAGTTAGATGGTAATGTTTCTGTTTGTGTGTCCAGAACAATATGGTGGTGACAGTGACTAGCGCAAAGAATTTAAGTAGCTGCACTTTGATAGGAAAATATTTCTGCCCATGGCACTTTGCAATCGTCTTTAACCTTTTGAGCAGCATTGTTCCTATTTTTATATATTTTATATATTTACTAGAATTTGTTTGATAATAGAAATTCCTATTGGCTACATTTCTTAATTAAAATTAAAAAAAATTATGCAAAAGGTGAGAAAAGTCTACTTTGGGCTTAGCCCTCAAAGAATTTAAATCAAAGTGGTATACACTTCGGAGCTGATAACTCGTTTCACTTTAATATTCAATATTTTTTATTACAGGTGAACATATGACAGAACACGACCTTGCAGAGTTCCTGACCACACTTCTAGGATATAATCCAGAGGGAGGTAGTTCAGAGCTTGGATTGTACGATCCAGCAAATGCGGGTGACATTATTGAAGACAATTTGCCAGAGAGCATAAATTCAGATATGTTTGCCAGTCAAGTGTTGGGATTTGGTTACGATGAATCGGCTGAACAGAGAGCTCGACAAGAGAGTCCAACAGACGTAAAGTCGCCCGCTGAAGTAATGATGATCCACTAAAAGCTGTCCCTACACGTGGAATATGAGAAATTGAACAGTGTGCACAACAAAAATAGTTGCGAGAAATTTCACAGTTGAAAACAAATTCTAGGTTTTTTTTGTTTTAAATAAGTTTCTTCAGGTTTTGAAATGTGTAAATAATGGAGTTCCCATCAAGTGTACATACATTCCAGTAATTTTGTGTAGAGAGTCCGGATAAAGAATTGACAATTTGTGTGCATCTTTCTTGTTCCAAAAGGTGGGTTTGGCTTTTATATTGTGGATATGGGGAAACAGAATTTGGGGTATTAAAATACAATTAATTTCCATGCTTTCTGTGTTGAAGAAAATAAATGAAAATAGCCGCCCACTAATAACATGATTTTTATTTTTAAAAATAATTGCATAAAAATATTGCTGATGTATTATACTGTATTCTTATACTATATATATAAAATAAATATTTCAAGTTTTAAAACTTGCATGAGAGCGTTTTAATTTCTTTTTAGTAGGTTATAAAATTAGGAATTATTAAAGAAACATTTTAGCACGCAAATTTGATTTTCAGAAATAATGTGAATCTCCATTTCGAAGTACACTAAAAGTCAATATCTTTAGTCATGATAAACTTAGTTGTGTGGTTGCATGCCATTTTCCAGACAAAATGAGAAGCATAATTTTCAAAATAAGAATATTCACTAAAAAGTAAGAATTGTAGTGATCAACACTAAATGAATGAACCAAATTCATCTGACAGTGGTCCACCCAAGGTACTAACATTGAAAGTGTAACATTTGAGCTGGTAATTTTTTTAAAAGACTAAAAATATTTATTGAAATAAAGTTACCGTCATGAAATTAACAAATTCGAGAGAGGTCCACCCAAGGTGGCTTCATATAAAATATTTAAAACATGGGCTATTTTTTTTCAAAAAGTCATCAAAATTGCATTTTTTTTTTACTAAACATGACAAAAATATTCACTAAATATTTACTAGAGAATGGAAGGCGTCCTCACAAAGTGATCTCTGAGTTACACCCAAGGTGTCTACATACAATATTAGTTAGGTAGCAGTTACATGTACCTGGTAGGTAGCTATTTTCAAGAACAATTAAACATTAGTATTTTTTTAAAACAAAATTGTCAAAAATATTGACTAAATTTAGAGAATTGAATGTAGGTACATGTGTATTATCACAAAATGATCAAATCTGAGAAAAAAAACACCAAAGAGACATCTGTAGTGAACATGAAATCCATACAGCAGACAGTTTTTAAGATGCAATTCAAAATGGCGGATGACGCCAATCAGTATTATGTTAAAAAAGGCCCATAAACAGGAACATTTGTAGAAGTTTAATGACAAACTTGCTTATCCAGTCTATTTCAAATTAACTCAAGCTTTGAAGATTATTTAAATGTTTCCTGATAACTAATGCAAGAATACAAAGTTTACTATTAAAACCATATTTTGACTGAATAATAGCAACCGCAACTTGATATTAAACTCGATGCATCCAGTTGAAGTTGTCCGAATTGTGGTGTGCATTGTCATGGATATACAACTTCAGAATTATTATAATAATATTAATCTAAAAACTGGCTCTATATTCTCATTTGCATCATTCAAATTGAAAAGATGAAATCAAAATTAGCCATGTGCGTAATTTTCACCCATATATTGGGCTTATTTACACTTTACTTTAATAATTTTGTGTCTGTCTGGAAAATTGTGTGCAACCATCACAAGATAGGTGAATAATTTTACATATTAATTACCATATGGCCAAATAATTAGTAATTTTTGATTTCTAACTTTAAGAGTTATTGCAAATTTAAAATTGAGTTTTAAATTTAAAAGTAGACAGTTTAGAGTTGCATTGGTCCTACATCAAACACAACATTACATGACGACTGAACACTGAAAGTCCGATGTGTCAAGGAAAATCTCACAGGTATAAAAAACAGGTGGTGTTTATACGACAAAGAAATCAATGTATGTGCCATGTCACATGACAATTATTGGTGAACATAGCATTTCCACCAAGGCAACTGTCACAGTAAGGCTGCATATTTCTTCAACATAAATGGATTAACTGATTAGCAGAATGTACAACAACAGACTCAACTTGGTGAATGTTTGGCAACATGCACCCGTTTGTGATAGGAATAATAGTAAATTGTTGATATGAGTACTGAATTATTCACAGCGCCCTCGGTGGTAACATCATGATTTTCTCTTAAATACTATTTTTGGAACATCTCTTTGTAAGAACACAGCTCAACGTTGTATTTCTTGTAAACCATTTTCAATCTCTCGTCTTGTAAAATGCTTATTTCATGTACACGGTCTTGTGAACAGGAGAATTTATCAGGGCCATGTCCGCAACCACCGTAACCGTTCATACTTGGGTACCCGGGATGAGTCATGAGTTCAAAGGTCAAGAACGATTCTTTGGACTTTTTAAGGTTGTACAGTGACGACGACAATGCTGATTCTATCCTATCTACAGTCATCTTCTCCCCCATGGTGCTCAGACCAATGTAGCCAAGTGGATATCTGCACAGATAATTTACAAACATTTGACAATGAACGCAGCGAATAATTATGTATAAGCCCTACAAATTCTGAGTGACAGTTTCAATCAAATAAATTAGAACAAATAACAACTGGGGCTACCTAAACTTGGTTCTGGGGAAGTAGGCATCATAATGAAAACCGTCATCTATATTGAAACATTACCAGCACTGCTTTCGGCATTTCAATTTCAACAAGCAGTGCTCCCTTTCTACTCAAAGAAATTGGTGATTTTACAACATGATAATATTAGTCTCAATATTTAGTTTCAACAAACAACCCTCTGAACATTGTACCAATGAGTTTTTTTGTGAGCAAAAGCTAGGACAGTTACATCATTAATTGCTCATCACTAAATGTTAACATTTTAAGCTATAGAGTATACTAATAGTATACATACCTGATACAGTGAGCCTGAAAGATAGATTTTGCATTTTGTGCGTACAGTTGCACGACTTTATTGAATTTCTTGTGTTCTTCAAGCACCCATGAGCATTTTTCCAAATTATACTGAATGGGAAATCTAGTTAATGTAATGTTGTGTTCTTTTAGAACTTCAGCGAATACTTGACTGATACCTGAATGCAAAATAGAATTTGTAATAAATACAAGATTATAATTTAAAAATAGAAATGACATAATCATGCAGTGCAGTGTGAAAAATGAAAACAACGTTAGCCGATGGTAAAGACATTTCTAACTGCCCTACCATGCTTTGATTTTACTCCCAAAGAAGGAAGAGAAGTGAGAAATTATTTCAATGCTGCGTAAGATATAAATATGTATGTCGCTATTTTAGTTTTTGTCTTCATAAAATCCAGCGAATATACTTTTTTTCCTATATTTCACATTAAACTCAGTGAAAATAAATTCCATACAAAACGCCCAAAAAGCCTTTTCAGCGAAAATTAATTCCAGCAAAAATAAAGTATTCCACAGTAAATAATTAAACACAAGACATAATGCTTTGTGATTTCATTTCAAACCAACACTATAGGACTCATCTTGGTACCGTAGATATTATAACATTCAGTTTCACAAACAAAAAGTTAATATCAATAACATTTAAAGTGGGGTAGTAGTCACCTGCGCATACGTCAGATGGCCAAAGTGTGACATTGTTTACAAACAAGCATCTACCCATGAGCCTTTGCATTTTTTCGCACGTGTTTTTATCATCGTTTGGGACTCAACTCCCACGTGTGCGCAGGCGACAACCCTCCCGCTTGAATTATATTTGACTAAAGTGACATGTCGATCAAAATAAAAGATCAGTAGCCTGCATATGAAAAACATTAAAATTTGTATTTAAATTTAAACCAAATTGGTCAAATCAAGAAATGGGCAAGCAGTACTCTGGCCAGAAAAATAAAATAGCACTCAGTTTATTTAAATAACGGTACAAGACTAAGTATATTTTGTTAATCCTAATGATATTTGAAATTCTAGAGTGGGGGGAGGGAGTTCTACTTCATAACGCTTTGGGGAGAAACGTGGCAACAACTGCAGCACATGTGTAAATCCTTGTGTCTTGTCATTTTCAAATTTAAACCAATTGAAAGTTGACGATATATATCACTTGACATATTAACATGTATTGACATGTTCATCTTTTGAAGCAATGTAATGTACAGGGTTCATTTTAATCATATTAGTGACATGTTATTACTTGTCACTTTAATACAATACTTTTATGAAAGTAAAGGACAAAGACAAATCACAATATGCGAATTATGTTTGCACACAAGTTGTTCATATTTAACCATTTTAATCATGATGTAGGAATGAGGGAGAGGAACTTACCTGGAAACACATGTACATGTTGGTGTCCATCCACATATACAGGGGTATACCCAAGAGTTTGTCTAAATAAAGCTATCTGCGCTCTCATTTCGTTTCTAACCTATAATGTTGAAAAGACAATTAATTATTTCTCAATTACCATTTAAAAGATTTTAATGAAACATGGATGCTCCTGGATAATGCACAAATCTGATTAGTTTTTGCTACAAATTCATGTACATTAATGACCTAATTTGCATATTAATTAATGTATTCAAATCAAAAGGTAAGTAGGTCACTATTGGTATGTGAATGATTTGAAAGTCACCACATGAGCATTTGAATACATTTTCTGTTCACTACACGATCCTGAGTATTGCGTGAATGGTGCGGAACGAGCGTCTGCCATAAACTTAATAATTTGACTTTGAACTTGAATTTCTTTTTAATAACCATTGCTGACCTTTCAGAGGAGAAATATGGCATTGGGATACCCTTACTTGATCAAAACTGACCAACATCAAGTGTGTGTATATAGCACATTATTAGGCTGGGAAATTAAAGGGCATGACATGACAACAACTGCATTTTAATGATTTTTTCAGAATTACAAATTACAAATGAGGAATTTGAGAAAAAAAAAGATTCACCTCATCAAAATTGATCTTATGTTCTCTGAGTGCATCCTGGATTACACATTTGTCCAGGAAAAATCCATCCTTGTCGAGAAGAGATGACCTTCCACTTATGGGAACACCTTCTGTCAAGTTTAAATGTAATCCTATAATAACAATAATTATTAATAAATCATTTAATTTTGTTAATGTAATGACTTGGTGATGTTTTGCATTGTAGGTGGCACTTGAACCTGGGCTCTTATCGTTATTTATCCATGACCCAGTGCAGTGCACTATAAAACTTCTTACTACTGGTGATTGTCAACCACAAATGGTTATCAAAATTGATCCAATTTAAAACATGCTGTTATTCGCCAAAGATACGTACCAAGTGGAAGTCTGCATTCTTTTGCTAATTTTACTGCATCTTTGAAGCCGACAGCATTAACAAGAAGTGAAGAACCAGTGATAACACCACGCTTGAAGCATTCAATGATCCCTCGGTTTCTTTCAGGACAATAACCAAAATCATCACCTGTGACGACAAGATGAAGCTTTTCTTGTCTTGTCATGCTATATTGACGCAGAACTGTACCCTTAATAACACTGCTCCACTGATACCTAACTGCTGGAAAAAATATTCAAATATCAGATCGAGAAAATATATATTTTTATTCCTATTTGAAAATTGTAATACAAGAACAAAAATAAAAATATAGCTGCAAGCAGCGATTACCGGCTTTCGATGCTATGCCTGCGTTAGCGCTGAATTGCATTCATGCAACAGTGTTATGACATTTCACTTCTGTAATATCTGGGGTTGTGGAGACATGTACTGCGATTCGTTTACTATACACTGTAGGCAAATTGATCACAATGTGTGTTGATCTAGTCACAGCATGGTGAACTGATTACATTACATGAATTGTATGACCATATATGGTCATTGAATATGTTAGCAATTTATCTTGTTCAATGCCTTCATTATAGCATTGTCTCCATGTTTTTACTTGCAATAGTGCCTGAGATATTAGTAATATGCATATTTAATAAGTTCTATGACCATATATGGTCATTGAACATTTTAGCCATTTCTTGT